ACTTTAGTGACGATGTGACACTGCCTCGATTGTGCAAGTGACAATTCCTGTGTCAACTGTGCAGCTCGCTTATAGACGGACGCGATGTGTGGTGATTTTAAGCCATTTGCGTATTTTGGAGAGAGAAAGAGAGAGCGCGCACGTGCGTGCGCTGATTCACTCACGCTGTTTGTGAAATTACGTCTCACACAAGGTTTTCAAATTACTTTATAAGTTATTTAATGAAAAAATATGAAGGTGAGTACCTCTCCTTCAGCATTATAATTATTTTACCCGCGCCTGACAAGAGACTGAGACTGTGACGCTGCATGTCGTGCCAAACATCTCACAGCAGCGTCATCAGCTTGAGATCGTTTTTTTTAGATTTTCGGCCTTTTAGAAACCGCCGATCAATCATCCCAACGTGATTATCGACCGATAGTGATCGGTAGCCGATCAATCGGAGCACCCCTATTAAAAACATAAATTATTGCCAATATTAAGAGGATTTGGCATTTCCAATTAATGCCGGTTACATTCTTATTTTTATTAGCCCTATTATTATTAAGTTACTTTTATTATTAAATTAAAATTACTATTAATTTGCCCCACAATAATTACCACATAACTGACGCGCTGCGAGGACAAGATTAGGCTATTTACTCCTCAATTAAAAGGTTTTAAAAAGGTCTTTTAAAACAGGTCTATCGTACAATGAATTATAGTCCTATAATTAAAATATTTACACTGCAGTCATCAATAAAAATTTATGAAATAAAAAGCTTTTATTTCAAGCACCGACTTTCAAAAACAAGCTGTTTAACATGAAATGCGTTTCTTCTCATTTTTTTTTTCACTATGTACAGGCCACAAGAGAAATATTAAAGGAATAAATGAAAACAGTTAGCTATAATATACCGTTATCAGCATTTGTTTAAGTAGATTCGTCTCTCGTCGTCTCTAAGAGAATATGCGGCGTCATATGTCGAAAGCTCCATCATTCCATTTTTACTTTCACTTTCTGCATAATGAATTGACTGAAAAGTTTGCACGTTGCTTGTGTGATATCCACTGGCTTGCCTTCATGGTTTTAAACAGAAATATTTCCAACATTGCGACGTAACCAATTGAATCAAACCTTGATTCTGTGGTCTTCTACATCAGAGATGGTGGCTACACGAATAAGCATGGCATTACGTTTATCCACTGCCTCCAGCTTCATCCCAACTTGGAAGCCATGTGGTGGTCTCTGGATGGCCAAAGATCAAAGGTCATTTACAATTCAAATAAAAACATAAATAATTAAAAACCAGCACCTCTCATGGTTCAGTGGGGTGAATCAAGCCTCACCTGTTTAAAGGCTCTTGCTGGTGCAGCCTGGGCTCCAGTTTCCTCAAGGTACTTCTCCCAAGTAAAAACCTTGGGAGGCTTATAATCTAAGACACAAAAATAAACAGACGTTAAATAATCTTAAAACCACTTGTCATGTTATACTAAAAAATGTTATACTAATCAATTTTAACTGAATACAAAATGTTAGGTACATCATAAATTGTAAATATTTTCATTAGATAGTATTTCAATTATTTATTTTAACTTTAGAACAATGTCAAACAAAAGCTGCTAATCATTTAATTTTGGAAATAACTTTTTGTGTTTATAGTATTACTGTTTCTCACACAATATAAAATAGAATTCCATAATCATTTGTGAAAGAAATGTAAATGATGCAGGGGTGAATATTACATGAAAAGAGTTTCACCTGCAGGTGTAGTGAGCATTAACTCGGCCTCCTCACAGTACCCTACCGGATGAATGTATGGACTGCTGGCATCACACCTGAGAACAAACACAATTCATTTACTACCTTAATTTACTACACAATCATGAGCAATTCCGAGAATTCTGCTCAGTCACTATCTTTACCAATAATCATACGAATCATCCCAGTTGTCAAAGTGAATGAGGAGCCGGTTGTCGACAGCAGCAGCAATGGTTGCAACACAGATGAGTGATGGGTTCTTCCTGTCAACGGCTTCCAGCTTCATCCCGGCACGGAATCCTGACGGTGTGACCGACTAAATATGGCAGACAACACATGGTTGTAAAAGACAGCATGATCTTCAGAACAGAAACTAACACTGAGAATCTACGAGAAATACTTTATAATTGTGTGCATATAAAATGACATACTGTATTAAGACTCTTGAAGAGATGTTTGGGGGCCAGTTGACCCCTACAGTTCTTTACATATGTGTTCCAGTTAAACTCTCCATCTTTGCAGCCTGTAAGCAAACACACAAATATTACAAAAACAGCATATGCAACCCATTTTACAGTTTTTTTAAATAAACTGAATATTCTAGCAGCATGTGCAATGGCATATGCAACATTTTTCCATTCCACTGTGCTACTTTTCAATTGTTTTCCTTGTAAACACACGTTTGACTGTTGAGCTCGCATCTCGCTACTTTTGTAGCATCTTGAGCATAACAAGGCATTCCAAAAATACAGCACATCTCAAGACCCTGCGTTTTTTCCCCCGTTCCACTGCCCGCATCACGCATGTTTCAAAGCAAATACATGATCTGTGTGAATAGCCCCTAAGAGTGTCTAAAAACCCTGCAGTTTTGTCCATTCCAAATGTTATAAAACAACATGAAAAATATGCTAACGTAACCATTTTTTAAACAAATAAAATAAATTATAATTTCATTATATATTTTACAGTTAGTAAATTACATTTTTATTATATTTCGATTAATTTATTTAATTATATTTTGTGGTATTTATTATTTATAATCAATGATCGTGTCAATTACAATACTATTACATCTATGTTCAATTTCAGAATAAAAACTAGTAGACCATTTTGTAATCACACCATTCCGAATATAAAACACTATAAAACACATCTAATATGTTACAGAGAACAAACATAGAGCTCTGCACAAGAGCTGCTTTGCATGTTGCATCCTTGACAACAGACAACCAGCATTAAGCACCTTTTGGCAGCAATAGCTTGAGACCCGTTTTCTCACACCAGCCTGGCGGCTTCACATCCCATGAGTCAGCATTTACCCAGAAGTCATAGCACTCAGGGTAGCCATCAAAGTGAAGCCGAATCCTGTAGCCTTGCACCTGGAACAGAAGGCAAATATGTCCAAATACACATTTTACAATAAGCACAGCTATCTATATATTTTCTTTAAAAATCACATATCAAATAAAATCACAGGAACTTTTGACTCTGGTTACCTCTGCAACAGTCAAAACGCAGAAGAAAGCAGGGTGACTGGGGTCCAATCCCTCTAACTTCATGCCAACTTTAAATCCATTCC